TTAACTTTATTTATTTATTTATTTTTAATTTGACCAGAGAGGGACAGAGTGAGTGAGTGCGTGAGAGAGTGAATGAGAAAGTAAGCCACCAGGTCCGGGACTCAAGCCACGGTTGGCCATGTGGGAGTCCAACGCCCCTAACCACCATGCCACCTGGTCCCCAGATAATGTAACTTTGAGGTCTTTTCTAACCTCAGTGTTCAATGTGAATCTGTAGTGCTTCTGATCAGAACCCACTGTAGCACCTTTTGTCAGGTTACTGACTTCACAGTCTTCTCTTTGTGTGCCAATGCTCTTAGAGTGATGACAGTTGTTGACTGGCTTGGGTAATGATGAGTTCTGCCCTCTGCGATTACAAAGTAGACTGGCTGGGGACCAGCAGATAGCATAATGGCTATGTTGCTGGACTCTCACATGGTCGACCATGGTTTGAGTCCCAGACCCGGTGGCTTAAACTCACACCAGGCGTGTGTGCGTACATGCCCAAGATCCCAAGAGGAGAATAGAGGAGAAGGGATTGCGGCGTGGCCATTCCCCCTGGGGGGTGATTTCTCACTTTCTGTCTGTGTTTCTGGCAAGCGCACACACCCTATAGCAAAAACCTCTCCAAAAAAAAAAAAAAGTAGACTGGTTGTTCTATAGGGGTTAAGAGTTTCATATAGAACTGGCCATGAGCTCTCTACTAATGCATAGTGCATATTCTTTCCTTACAGGTTGAAATTTATAAGAGTTTCCGCCCTGGTGACATTGTCTTGGCCAAAGTGGTATCCTTTATTCCCAGCAGATGCTGGTACTTTTTCAAAAGAAGAGATGGGAGTTAAGAAGCAACTTGAGTGGCTATGGGGGACTTAGAACCTTCGTTTTCCTTACCCAGTGTCCTGTGACTAGATCTCCCTTGGGGACGCACAGTCAAACTACCTGCTGACCACTGCCGAGAACGAGCTGGGCGTGGTGGTGGCCCACAGTGAGTCAGGTGAGTCAGTTCTTTCTGTGCTTCCACACCTCCCTTTTCCATGGGAACTGTGGTTTGGGGTTAATCCAAATGGGGTTAATTGTTTTCTCTGGTTTCTCTTGTTTTTAATGATGCGAGAAGCAATATGAGTAGAGATACTTAACTGGTAAGATTAGAATGCTGCTTTTGGGGGCCAGCCAATGGTAGCTAAGGCATCTGGATCCCACATGGCTGACTATGCTGTTGGCGCCCCAGACCCAGTGGCTTGAAAAACACACAGTGTGCATGTGTGCCCAAAATCCCAAAAGGAGAATGGAAGGGTTGCAGCACATCCAAAGTCTTGAAAGGAGGGAGGCAGCACGGGTCTGCTCCCTGGGAGGATTCTCTCTCTCTCTCTCTCTCTCTCTCACTCATGCATGCACATACTCCCTCCCTCTCTCCCTCTTCCTCCTGGGGGGGGGGGACCTCTATGTAAAGAAACAGGGATCTCACTCCATAATTCAGTGGAATAAACAAAGTCTTTTCAGTATGAGGTGTGTTGCACTGGCACTGGGTAGCTGAGTGACACTTCAGTCTCGTGCCCATCTGAGAGGAGAAAAGTCTTGGGCAAGTATTGGAGACCCAGCTCCAACACCATCTCTCCCCTTGCAGGCGTCCAGATGGTGCCCATCAGTTGGTGTGAGATGCAGTGCCCTAAGACTGCAGTGCCCTAGGACCCACACTAAAGATCTCCGGAAAGTGGCCCGAGTACAGCCTGAATTCTTACAGACCTAAGATGCCAAACTTTACCCCATAGAGGGGGCAAGCTGTTTCCAAAGGCACAAATAAGAAAATGACATCAGGGTGCCATCGTCTTTATTCACACACCTGGGACCAGCCAGAGCTCACCTTCAGAAAAACCTGCCAGAATCTTACTACAGATGGGACATTTTTCTTGTGAACCTTTTAGTGGATTTCCTTCTCTTGAACGATGAAACTCTTCTTTTGGAGGCAGTAGCAAACAAAACTGGCATGTTGGAAATAGCTCATTCCTTCTGGTAGTCCTTATAAATATAGCTGTGACTAAAGTATATTTTTTTATTAAAAGGGCTTTATGGTTTCTATATCTTGACAAGAAAAGGCATCTGTGTGGTGCTATGACATTAAAGCCAGGACGTGCCTGGCGGTGCCCATAGTCCGATGTGTGTTAAATGTGTTAAGTGCCGGCTTGCTCTGGACAAAGCCAGATCACTAGTCTTGTTTGCGTTTTTTTTTTTTTTTTTTTGGAGAGGTTTTTGCTATAGGGTGTGTGCGCTCACCAGACAGACAGAGAGAGACATAGAGACAGAAAGAGAGAAATCACCCCCCAGAGGGGATGGTCACGCCGCAATCCCTTCTCCTCCATTCTCCTCTTGGGATCTTGGGCATGC